CATTACTTATTTATCAGCATATAACATTGTTTTCTGCTTAAGTTTTGCCAGGGATTTCCCAACCCCCCCCCCCCACGAAGACTGTATGATTTAGAAACAGGTTAAGGTATAAATGCAAAATCATTTCCCCTCTAATTTCATTTCAGATAGGTCAATGATGTACACGACGTGGAATCCTTGCAACCAGCAAACAGCCTCAGGGATACCCAGGATCCCAGCATGCAGAATTCCAGAGAAGCAAAGACAGACTCTCTGACCCTCTCAGCACAGGGAACCAGCTCTGGAATCCGCTGCATTCCTGTGACCAGCATAAACCTACTGCTTCTTAGGACACAGCTGCCAAAGCAACAAGCTGTCCCTCACTGAGTTACTCTGACAGTCCACAGAGTATGGAACTGGCACTGCTCCTCCCCTCTCCCTCAGGGCCTTTTGGATAAGCCTATCAGCTTCTCCCAATATTGGAGCAAGTTCCTGCCCTTTGCCTGAGCTTACAATTTGGAGAAAGACTTTGCTCGCACAGTCTCCAGGAAAGTGACATTGGGAGTGTCCCAGTGACCCACCCAGTACACAAGCAAGCCCTTCCAAAACCTGGCACTCTACTCAACAGATATTGTCCAAAGAAAAGTGGAAGAGCTGAAACAAAAGATTTTGCCAATCTGTAAGCTTTCAATCAAGGATGCTATTATGAAAAGCTAGCAGATGACAATAATAATGTAATCTGAAACTGGTAGCTATAATATGATTGATAAGATGAGAAACATTCAAACAGGGACAAATTTATCTTTTTTTGAAACTGAACAATTTTTACCAGAAACCAAAGTTAAGTACAAGTAAAGAAAAAGAGTGCTTATACAAGTATATGTGAGGTTTAAATCCAATTATATTTATAGGTGCCCCATTCTAAATGTGAACAAATTATTTTCTTCTAACACTTTCTGTTGAAAATGTGATAAGCAGCAATACATGAGCAACGAGTTGATAGATTATATGGCTGGACAAATTGGAATTCCAAGTAACTGGGAAGTCCAGCACCAGGAAAGGTCATCCCAGAAAAATCTAACTCGTCAAGAAGGCTCTGGCAAGAATGAGAGAACAAGATTTTAATCATTGCAGCTAATTACATAGAAGACTAAATCACAGGAAGAGTTATTTAAGTGTCTAAAATACAATAAAAAGTAATTAACAGGAAGCGCCATCTTGACAGCTTCATGTCACAAACTAGCCCTAAAAGGATCAGCTAATTCCCAACTAGGGAGCCAGAGGATGAGGAACAACTTAAAGTTTGATCTTTCTATTTTTTTAAATTTAAACTGTTTTGAATAGCAGATAGCAACTCTTGCCAACTCCTCTGCGAAGCTAATTCATTACCCACACCGCCTAACCAGGGCTCTGAGCACAACAACCTGCCCAATCATCCAGGAGAGAGAAAAGACGACAGAGAGCCTGCTAAGGAGCTAGAAAACTTCACACTTGCATGTGAAACACATCTGAGAAATTGGGTCAGAAAGTAACCCTCCAAGAGACCTTATATCATTTGCTTCTGTCTATTGCACAAATTATTAAAAGGTGAGCCAAGAAAGCATGTGTATTTAGGAAAACAACTGTGTTTTCAATAATACAGAATGGCAATAACATGACCATAAGTATAAGTGGGATAAATATACTAGTGGGTGGGGAGTGGTTTAAGTATCAACAATCAAGAATGTAAGGCCACATATAAATCAGTATAATATCAAAGAGACAAACTCTGGGCTAATTGGCTGAATCCTCATCTTTCAAGGGCTGGGGTCCCATGTGGGCACCGGTTCTGTTCTGCTGCTCCACTTTCCATCCAACTCCCTACTTGTTGTCTGGGAAAGCAATAAAGAATGACCCAATAGTGCTTGGAGTGGCAAGATTGACAGCGATTCATAACTGTTGCAATATCAAAACCACTCGAGGAAGAACCTCAGAGCATGCCCTACACCCGGGACTTGGGGAGGGTGGGAAATTGGGTGGGCCTTCTCCCTTAATACCCCCCTTTTTAACATGAAGGTAACAATATGGAAAACATACTAGTATTATCCACTTTCCTGTAGCCCTTGAACCTTCTTACTCTAACTAAGTATGTGAAGAATGTCAAAATTAATTTTATTAATTAAAAAAAAAAAAAAAAAAGAATGACCCAAAAGCTTGGGATCCTTCACCCACCTGGGAGGCCTAGTAGAAGCTCCTGGCTTCCAATTAGTTCACTCCAGATGTTATGGCCCCATTGGAAGTGAACTAGTAGATGTAAGATCTTTCTCTCTATCTTCTTTCTTCTGTAAATCTGCCTTTCCAATAACTAAATAAATCTTTTAAAAAATTTACTCTGCTGCCAGTCACACAGACAGTTTTAAGTTTACTCAATTCTCAATATGACATGGACACATACTTTTTATAAGTCCACAAGATTCTGGAAAAAAGGCAAAGACAAAACAAAGTAAACAAACAAGCAAAACCCCAAATCAAGATGAAAGGAAAATAAACACCATCTCTTAGCAGGGGCAGCACTCAGAGGAACTGCTGCTAGACTCATCTGCCACAAGCCGCCTGTCGAGGCGCTAAGCTTCTAATAATAACATAAAAAGGGAAAACAATTAGTTACAAGCTTTACAGTGTTGCTTTGATAAAAATAGACCAGTAACCAACCCAAGTAATGAGACATCCAAGTACTCCTTGTTACGCTTCATAAAGGGACATGTAAAAATGCATTTAACAAATCACTGACAAATTCACAGAGCTTCTAACATCTGCTGGATATGAGATACATAAGGTAGGAAAGAGACAAAATTCCCAATTTCCAGGGAAGCCTCAGTAAGATCAGTAACTTGTTCACCATTTTTTTCAATACAGCCCCAAAGGAAACAACAAAGCGTTTCTCTACAAACAAATCCATCATGAAATTCATGATGTTTCCAAGTACATTCTAGGCTAGCCTAATCCAAGGAGCTAAGTACCTAGTACCTAGAAGAGTGTCTTTTTGTTTTATTAATATTGATTTTATTTATTTGAAAGGCAGAGTTACTGGAGGGTGAAATGGGGCAGAGAATTTCTGTCCATTAGTTCAGTTCACAAATGTCAGCAATGGCTGGAGCTGGGTCAGGCCAAAGCTCAGAGCCAGCAGCTTCTTCCAAGTCTTCCAGGTAGGAGCAAGGGCCCAAGCACCTGGGTCTCTCCCTGCTGCTTTCCTGAGTACAGTGGCAGGAAGCTGGATTAGAAGCGGAGCAGCAGAGATGTGAAAGAGTATCCACACAGAAAACTGGCAGTGCAGAGAACTGCTAAATGCCAGCCCCGGAAGAATGCCTGTAAAATCCTGAATAATCCCCTGAAAATACTGCTTCGTTCAATCTATGACATGAACAGGAAAGCAGACTCCATCTTCTCATCCTGAGCACAACCCTGGCAGACAAATATCGCCTATCCATTCAGACAAAGTGGTACTGTCAAACAACAAAAGGAAAACAGCCCAGGAACACACTTATACCAGCCCGGAAATGGCCACCAGAGCTCGAGAGAGAAGGCACAAGGCGTACCCTCAGCCAGAGTTACAGGCAACACAACACCCAACAGCTTCTGTGAAGTGGGAAAAGGAGAGAACTGTGGGAGAAATTTCTCTGTATCACCTGAATTTATTTAAAAAATATTGCACTAAGTCAACAGTCCACTGTAAGAGCATGTTAGATACCAGCTGGTGGAGGGCATCTGCACCAGGTAGCAGGCTGGTGCTTGTTTCCGACACAGCAAGGATGCTAATGACCCAGCCCTCCAAAGCAGGAAGGTACACATCGAATTCCTTCAGAGACGGCAATACGCCATCAGGTTAGGTTGCACAGGTACAAAAATGACTGAGAATGTTCTAGTTTTTGCATTTTAGAAATGTGATCCGAGTTGTCGAGACCCCTGTTGCTGAGATCCCCCTCCTAGCAAACCCTGGTGCTTCAAGTGGTGGGAAGGTAAATGACAACAAACGCCTGGATTTAGCTTCTTCTGTGGCAAGGGAAACCTCCAACTGTTGCGTGAACATTAGCACCATTCATAAATTAGGAATGGTGACAGAGGATAAACAAAAGTTTCCAAATCTGAACTCAAGTATGAGGAGGAAAGGGGCTCATGGTGGACAGGTGAGACTCCGGAAGCTCATCAACTGCCAGGTCCTGATTCCTCTCTGAGGCACACAGTGGTTTGCATGCATTTTGCCTAATGGTCTTCATTGGACTTTCAATAAGACCATGTTTACTTTGATGAGAAACCAGTTCTTTTCCTCTCCTCCACTATGCCCCATTTAAAGAAAAGAAAAATATCAGTTTGGTAGCAAACAGCATTTACAGCAGTTAAACAGAGAAGGAAACAATTACCGTGCTGGTATATTTTATGCAAAGTAAGAACTGCTACTAGGGACTGACTGATTGTTTTAATATTTATTGCGGATGCAGGGCCCAGCAGGCTTCTTCCTTCCCCTGTAAGACACCTCTGTTTATCACCCAGACTACCCAGAGAACTTGGAACACAAGCAGGGTACAGCTAGCACAATAGAAAAGGAAGACTCCATCACACCCCGAAGACGAGGAACTAGAAAATGCCCAGTTAGCCCCCTCCTCCTTATTCAATCCTCTTTCCTCTGGCAGGGTGAAGTCTGACAGGGGAATCTACAATTGGACTTCTGAAATCAATATACAGAAGGATCCCTTTAACTAATTTTTCATAACACCTACGGCATGTTTACTTCTCAATAGATGGCATTATTAATAGTAATAATGAGCACTTCGCACAGTCAAGCCCACAGAGGGCAATAACTCTTAAATAACAACAATAACGAAAGTGTATGATTAGCTAATGAGTGATTATTAAATACTTCCCAAATATAAAGTGCTAGACAAGTACATGACGAGGACCCACTGGGTTCAGTGCATGAGATCAAGGAGAGACCTTTCTGAGAAACCCGAGATGCCAGCTGGGTTCCTGCCAGCCCAGACACTCACATTCCTCCAATGGTAACAGTGGCACAGGTACGCTCTGAAAAGGCAGGGACAGTTTCTGTGGCAGGGCTGGCCGGCCGAATGTAGTCCACCGTCACATTGACCTAGAATTAAAGAATCCAGGGAGTTAGGGTTTGGGGTTCACAACACGACATACAAGCAGCCACATATCCCTGCAAAATTATTCTGGAATTAATAGTTCAAAACTCCATAGCTGAGTAAGAGACAGACTGTGAAAAATATCTGTTAAAAGGCATGTGATAAAGAATTAATATCCAAAATATATAGAGTTCAATGATAAGAAACAATCAACCTATTTGAAAATTGTGAAAGAGTTACATAGTGGGACTTTGAAGACGTCCAATGGAAACATCCTCCTGTTATCTATCACATTAAGGCTATTGCTTTTCGGATTTTACCTGGAGGAGCTGAGAACTGGGGCCATACCAAAACACACATGACTGTCTATAGCATTCTTGTACACTCTTGTCAAAACATGGACACTGAATCAAGAGGTGCCATGTAGGTGACTGGATAAAGCGGAATATTTTCAGCGACTAAAAGAATCACCTATCACACTACAAAAGACGATCCTTTGATACATAATAATCAGTGATAGAAGACAATGTGAAAAGGTTACATCTTCTATGATCACAACTTATTTGATGTTCTAGAAAGGCAAAATTACATGAAGATATTAAGAAAAAGCAGAGGTAGGAGAGAGGGACAAGATAGCAAAGCACGCAGGATTTTTATGGTGAGGCAATTATGTTGTGACAATAATAGAGCGCTGATGTCATTACACATTTGCCAAAACCCACAAAAGAGAAACTACCAAGTGTGAATTCTATGGCTTTTATTTGACAATGATGAACCACTCTGCTGTGAAAATCTGTGCATATATGAGTTCAGTGGGAATGTGGGAAATCTCCATGTTTTCTGCTCAATTTTGCTGTTAGCCTAAAATTTTGCTAAATAAAACTCTTAAAAAAAGAAACGAAAAAGCTTATAATTAATAGACAGGAAGTTTGGAAGAGGCATGCAGGTTTGTTAGACATTATGTTATAGAGTTCTTTCAGCATAGTGAAACTACTTAACATTCTTTTTAAAAATACAAATTTTGTCGACAGGAAAACTGCATACAGCTTTAGTCTGTGGTACTTCCTCAAGGACCCAATTAAGAAGCATTAAGAGGAATGACCAAGATGATAACCACAATGCTAAAGAGCTCCTTTCACAGTATGTGAATCAGGACAATGCAGTTAACTAAGGGCACTAGAAACAGTTGATATGAGGACATTTTTCAGAAAACGTATCACTAAAATAAACAAAAAAAATAAAATAAAATAGACGGATTGGTACCCTGACTCAGCTTCAACTGCTGACATCCCATGTAGGTGCTGGTTTATATTCTGGCTGTTGTACTTTCAATTCAGCACCGTTTGTGGCCTACGAAAGCAGTCGAGGACAGCCCAAAGCCTTGGGACCCTGTATTCATGTGGAAGACCCAGAAAAAGCACTTGGCTCTCAGCTTTGAATTAGCTCAGCTCTGGTTGTTGCGGCCATTTTGGGAATGACCCAGTGGATGAAAGATCTTTCCCTTTTTATCTCTCCTTCTGTTTTTAAACCTGTAAATCTAATTTTTCAATAGTTAATAAATAAATGACTTTTTCAAAAATGGATAGAAAAGTCCTTACTGCTGTATTAACTATCCTGATCGTGAGTTACGACCATTACATGTGAATGCTTCTATGCGTACTAGATAGACAGATGTGGCTACAGCAAGCGACAATTTTCTTTGGGAAACTGCTTAAAACAAACACAGCCATGTGCCAAAAGGATCAAGATCTCCTAGCAAACATATACAGCATGACTGTATTAGCCTGAAAGTGTGCAACCGGTTTGGGTCACAGCCAAGGCTTACTAATCCACTAAGGAGATGAACTGTAGCAAGGAGCATGGAGCCAGCCAGCATAGTCCAGAATCCCATTTCTAATTGGACCTTCAGCAATCCCCGATCGGTTTAAAGACAGCACACTACGAAAGTATCAAATTCATCAACACTGCTTGCGAGCAGTTTTAACATCCTTTCAAACTGTGTGCTCTTCAAAAACTCACGTGAAAAATGAAATGGAAATTTTAAAAAGGAGAGATGCCTCAAAATTCAAACTGTCATGTTACTTAAATTCTCCACAGAGTCACGTTTAGAAGTAACTAAACAGCAATACTGAAGACACGGCCATTAGGGGCTGGGGTTAGGGTAAATCTTAATCACAAGAGGTGCTGTCACAACACAGCCGCACAGAAAGATTTAAAGACGACTCTTAAAATCAGTTATCTCCTTTGAAGTTATTCCTGTCACTTTCTCTACATCTAAGGAGTTGAGGAAAAGCAGAGTATGATCAATCAAGGGGATTAGACCTCCATAGAAACACTGCTTCAACAGTTCACACAAGAACAATTAATACAGACCAAAGGAAAATGGGTGTGGAGGGTGCATGTCGACTCAGGGTAACACACACACGCCACAGGGCATAGCAAGTGTGCAGCAGTGAGTCGTCGAGGGCACACTCACTGTGGGAGGCGCATCCCAGGCCACGCAGGGCACAGCCTCAGGCCATGGCTCGATGTGGGACACTCAGTGGGGCATCTGATCAATACAGGCCACATTACTGTATTGATGTGCAGCTAATTCATCCAGCTGGAGGGGGATGATCTAAGAAAATCTCAGGGTTACCCAATAACGCCAATGACATTGACCATGTCACAGAGACGAGGGCACGGCAACAGCTTTGCAGCACACTGTCCCCGCACGTGGGAACACCCGGCAATAAGAGAACTTTTTCCAACACGAGCGTCATGTGAGCAGCGGAGGTGGTAATAATGGCAGAAGTAGCCCCAACACAAGCGAACCCCATAGTCTTGAGCCCAGAAGACCACACTGAGCTGCATCCCAAACTATCTGCCTGGGGAATCAATGAGAATGACCGCTGCCTCCCACCTCCGGCCCCAGAAATAAAAACTACTCATCTTCAATAACCAAGAGAAACAATTACACTCATCTGCCAATTAATTGCTTCCTATCCAGAGAAAGAGAACTGTAAATAAGTCAGAGATTAAAGAGCTCTTTGTGGAAGTGACATTATGGAACAAAACCTCAAATACAAACGAGGCCGAGAATAGCTCACAGCCCAGGAACAGCCCTGCAGGCAACAATGAGAAACCAGGAATTAGCCAATGCATAACAGCATTTTCTCCCTCTTCTAAGATTGGTTGCTCTACCTCAGGATTTTTCATCTTCAGATATTCATCAGTAATCTGTCAATCACTGGAAAAAGAGCTGCAGTTCAAACAGTTTCATTTAAAACTGCACAGCTTAGCAATGTTTTTATCTGAATAAATAGTGACCTGAATTTGGGGTTGTCGGGCAGATAAACATGGAATGGCATGAGCTGAAGAAGAATGATACAGGCATCTTCCTTCTCTCTAAGGAAATGCTGAATGCATCAGTGTATCAGTCATGGATGACAAGAGGACTAGCAGACCCAGGCCTGGGCCCTGATTAGAGCAGTCACAACAGCAGCCCTGGCTTCCTGCTTAGTTCTACCTGTCACTTTGTTACAAATGAATCACAGGACAGCTTGGATACCAAGTTCCTTTCTGGAAAACAGTAGCCCTGTATCAGATTTCAGAGCATTATTCAGAGCTAGAATTGTTCTCACGGATGTGTTTATCGTGCTTATTCCTACCTAAAGTTACTAAAATCAGCTGGAATGAACAGACTGGAAACTGCCTGAAAGAGCAAAGACCAAGTGGTTTTTCAATGAAAGAGCTAGAAGTAGAAAAGGCCGGGAAGTAAAGATTCAGCACATGAATGAAGACCCAAAATGAGGAACACTTGGAGAAGAAAACGCTCAAGGTTTCATTGAGGTTTTGCGTTACCAGATCTATTTTGTCAATCTGCTGACCATTCAGTTGCTACATAACAAAAACACAGAAGCCATAGAAGGATGTCTTGGGGACTGCTGGGAGAATGGTTGGGTAGGAGGAATATTTTGAAATCATGACAAAACTCTGACACTTTAATCAGAACAAATCCCTTGAGTGACTACGCAAGCAAGAGTTATGAAATTTTTCATGTTATCTGTTTTTCAAAAAGGTTCTCAAGAGATAACATAGGGTAGCAGTCAATCTGATTAAACCTTAGCCTACTGCAATGCAGAACTGGCACTGAAGAAATTTTAGGGAATATTCACAAGAAATAAGATTAAAATTGAAGATCAAATTGACAGCTCAATCTCATGTGAAGTACAAAATAAAGTTTACACTGTGTAGCAGTGTGGGCCACACCTCAGGAGTGCTAAGAATCTGTGCACATGAGCCAAGGGTCTAGGGACTAGCATCACTCAACCAGACAACTTTGTAGACTTTGATGCCACCAATGATAACATGAAGCTCAGAAACGTAAAAGCTGAGAACACAGAAAACAGCTGCACGTCCACATCCAAGCTGCAACCTGAGTTTAGTTTTGTTACAACCAAGCTCTTTGTGTGAGGCTGTTCTGTAACCACAGTATTGTAGCCACTCCATGTGGTAGTTCTGGAAAGTCGCTAAGCATACCAATTACTTAGAAGCCCATCATATCTCTCCAATGCTCAACTGATTCTGCATAGAAACAAAAGTCAGCATAATAACCTATTTTCAATAGAGCCTGGGGAATCAAGAACAACCATGGTGGAACAGTTCGTCACAGGGTTTGGTTCCCAGCAATTTGACAAAGACGCTATGTGAATGCTGCTAAGTTACCTATTATCGCTACATCTCCATTTACCACAGACAATAAAGTGCATGTCTGTGGTATCAAGAAATGTGTGGAAACACAGGAGGCAATTACAGCAGGGCTTGTTGCACAGTAACTCTGGGAGTGAGCCTCGGTTCTGCTTAGAGAACCAGGTATTGTTTGTGAAAAGTGGTTGGCAAAGGAAGCACACACGAGCATGCACACACACAGGTGTATGCACAAGATCCAGGCTGGCTTAAGTCAGCAGACTCCCCAAACCATGAGGCAGAAAAACTCAATGGCATATACTCCTCTCCTGCAGGA